CCGTCTACTTCTGTGGGCCGCCGCTGGGCCTGAATGTCTCTGCCGGCTGCCGCTGGGTCTGAATATCCCTGTCGGCTGCCGCCGCTGGGCCCGTCTACCTCCACCGGCCCCCGCCGCAGGCCTACCTGCGTCTGCTTGTCTCTGCCGCCGGGCCTGTCTACCTCTGTGGGCCGCCGCTGGGACTGAATGTCCTTGTTAACTGTTCTTATATCTTAAATTAACTCATTTCTATAAATCTATACCTTGCCACGTGGCTGGTGGCTTACCGGCGTCTTTACAGGTTGCCTCTCCTGAATTCTTTCTTTTTAAGTCATATCATCATGAAGCCCGATTAGGATATGGCCACTATCGGTGGCCTTAACTCTGAAGAGTGAACCAACTTATATCAATGATGTCATCCAACCTCGTCCAGTTTGTCAATGTAATTTTTCAAGTGTAATATTTCTTCCCTCTCTCCTCTTCTTTTCTGTTTAAATTATTCTCCTAAATTTTATTTCATGTGTATGAACGTTTGCCGGAATGTATGTACATTACTTGTATTCCTGGTACTGGAGTCACATATGGTTCTGAGCTGCTTCTTGATGCTAGGAATTGAACCCGGGTCCTCTGCAGGAGCAGCTAGTGCTCTTAACCACTGAGCCATCTCTCTAGCTCCTCCTTTAAGATATAGTCTTCATAGCTAACCCAGATTAGCTTTGAACTTACTATGTAGTGTGGCCCTAAATTTGTAGTAATCCCCCGACTTCAGCCCCCTGAATCCTGGGATTTTAGGTGGACCACCAGACCTGGTTATCAAATGTAGTTCTAAAACTCTTCTCTTCTTTCCTTTTTTCTTCCCGCCCTCCATTTGTTGAAACAGAGTTTTTGTTACACAGCTTTAGCTGACCTAGGGCTTGCTCTGTAGCTCAGGCTGGCCTCAAACTTCTGGTCCTCCCGTTTCTGCCTCCTGAGCGCTGAGGTTACAAGTGTGCGCTACTGACTTCCCTCCGAGACCGCAGGCATGTAAACAGAGCCTTCAAAAATAACAGTTTTACATTTAAGCCAGATGGTGGTGGCGGTGGTGGTAGTGGTGGCGCACGCCTTTAAATCTCAGCACTCAGGAGGCAGAGGCAGGCGGATCTCTGTGAGTTTGAGGCCAGCCTGGGCTACCAAGTGAGCTCCAGGAAAGGCGCAAAGCTACACAAAGAAACCCTGTCTCGGAAAAAAAAAAAAAAGCAAACAACAACAACAAAACTTAAATTGCTTCTCACTTATTTGACAAACTTCTATAGGCTTTTCCCCTTGAACGGTGAAAACAGAAAATAAAAGCCCTTAGATTCGTCAGTGTAAACAGACTTTCTTGTTAGCTAGAAATAAAAATGCCAAAGCACAAAGGATGGTCCAAAGCAGTGGTTCTCAGCCTATGGGGTGTGACCTTTGTGGTGGAGGGTCAGGCGACCCTTTCACAGGGGTCATCTATGACCATGGGAAAACAGATATTTACGTTGTGATAGCAAAATTCAAGTTATGAAGTAGCAATGAAATTAATTTTATGGTTGGGGGTCACCACAACATGAGGAACTGTATTAAAGGGTCGCAGCATTAGGAAGGCTGAGAACCACTGGTCCAAAGGCATGTGTACTGGATAATTTACAGGACAACCACCGTGTGTAGCATCAGAGTTTAAGTTAACTTCCTTGAACTGCCCTCCCCATCCCCACCCCATTGGCCTCGCCCCTCCCAGACGGGCCTGGAACTCACTGTATAGCCCAGGTTGTTTTGAACGCACGTCAATGCTGCCTCAGCTTTTCAACTGCCCAGAGTGCACATGAGCAGGCACAGCTCTTATCCTAAGCTGATTGCGGATTCTAGATCTCATCTGAGATCTCGACTGTGACTCGCTCCATTCCAACCATGAGCTGTGGGGTTGTGACTGTTTCCTGAGACAGTCTCACTTCTGCATCCCAGGCAGCCTGGAACTCGGGAACTCACTAGATGTCTAGGCTGGCCTTCAACCCATAGCAATCCTCCTGCCTAAGCCTTCTAAGTGTTGAGCCATTGTTCGTTCTAATTTTGTAATTTTTTAAAGACAGGTCTCGCTATGTAGCCCTGGCTGGCCTTGAACTCAGAGATCCCCCTGTCTCAGCCTGCTGAATGCTGGGATCAAAGGTGTGCACCAACACGCCTTTTTTTCTTAGAGGTTTAACAAGCCACAAGGACCAGTAGTGAGTTTTGTCTGATAGTACTTGAGCACCATGTGCATGCAGTGCCCTAGGAGACCAGAAGAGGGCGCTGGCACCCCCAGAACTGGAGCCATGAGCCGAGTCATCCAGCCCCTGGGAAAGAACTTGGGTACTTAGAAGAGCAGCAAGTACTCCTAACTGCTGAGCGATCTCTGGCCACCCACTTCTAATTCTAATAAAGTAGTTCTTTATTTAAGGGGAAAAAGCACTTGATTTACTTCCTCCATCTTTATCTCGATTCCTCTCTAACGGTGACTACTTCCGCGTGCAGACATTCTGCCTGACATTAGGTTCTACCACTGTTTGTCACTGCAACTGTCTTGACTTTGTCTCCAGAACTTGTATACGCTGCTGTTTAACTTGGTGTGTAAACTAACAGCTTAAGCTGTTTGTCAAACTAAATGCAGAGTACCTACTATGGGTCGGGCTCTGACAGATACTCGGCATACTAACTGAGATTGTGAACTAGCTAGCCATCTACAAATCTTTACCGTCTCCAACAACCCTTAAACCAGTGGTTCTTACCCTTCCTAACGCTGTGACCCTTTAATACAGTTCCTCTGTTGTGGTGACCCCCAGCCATAAAATTATTTTCATTGCTACTTCATAACTGTAATTTTGCTACTGTTGTGAATTGTAATGCAAAAATCTGTGTTTTCCAATGTTCTTAGGTGACCCCTTTGAATGGGTTGTTTAACCCCAAAGGGGTCATGACCCACATATTGAGAACCACTGCCTAAACATAGACTGCTGGTAGTTTTCTTAGAATGTCTGTTACTTGTTACCCTTTTCTAGAAAAGATCGCACCTGGATTCTACTTGGCTTCCCTAAAAAACAAAAACAAAATTCCTTCCTGATCAGATGGGTAACACATGCCTGTAGTTCCAGCCCTTGGGAGGCAGGAGGATTGCCTGTTTATCTCAACACAAACAAACAATTCCGGAACAATTCCGGAACAAAACAACAAAGTAGCTCTTCATTTATGGGAAAAGAGCAATTGCTTTCTGTAGTCCATTTTTCTCATGATTCCTGCCTGAGGGCGACCACCCCAGCACTGCCTGCGGAACAGGAAGTAGGTAAAGCAGGGCTGTGGGCGGAGGGAACATTACTCCAAGGAGATGCTACTGTGGCCCTAAGGGCTCCCGCTCTTTTGTCAAGAGCATGGAGAAACCAGGACCCTGTCAAGAAAACTTAGACCTTTTACTATTTGCTAGCTGGCTAAAATTGTTTAACCCTGCACAGGCTTTGGACTTAGGAGCCCTGCCTCTAAATCTAAGCACCAGGACTTCTTGGTAAAGCAGACTTGGACTCTGTCTGTAGTACTAACATCAGAGGCTTACAATTCTTCACTTACAAGCCAGAAATAATAACACACTCCACAGGGAGCTCCTGGGGATCCGGTCTATACAAAGGGCATTCCTGGGTCCCTCAGGCCTTTTCAGCTTCACCAGAAATGACAGGCCCTTTGCCCCAGTTCCTGCTTCCTACTCCGAGCACCCCCCCCCACGTCTGACCCAGCCCCAGGGCCTCCAGTTTGATCAAGGGTCACTTACAGAGGGGTATTCACTCTTCACTGGCAGTTTATTCAGGTAGCTGTAGACCTTGTCTTTCTGGATGGGGCAGCTGATCCCACACTTACAACCGTCAGGCTCAGGAATGGGGAAGAAGATGGGGAGTCCCGCCAGGATGCCGTACACTGAGGCAGAGCTGTTCTCAGACTGAGTGCCTAGGAAGACAGAGCAAGAGCCGTGAAGGATTGTGTATCCAGACAGAGAGCAAGAGCGGTGAAGGATCGTGTATCTGCAAATTCTAAGTCAAGTCATCAAATATTCTCAAGTGCTGGATGGCTACCGCAGCAGATCAGAGTCTCTTCCTTCTGGCGTCTCCATCTTCACGGGTCACCTGTAGCACCTAGTCCTGGTGCACAGGGTGGAAGGAGCGTGCTCCCCATCAAGGGAATCAGGCTACCGGGACAAATAACCTTAACTACCAGGACCACTGGCTTCTGTCGGTGTGCACTGTGTGTTTTAAATGTCACAGGCTAGCTCGGCAGTGACAGCTAATCCTTTAGATACTGTGTAAGATTAAAAGAGACTGTCATTTCTTGGTCCCCTCTAGCTTCTACACTGAAGATAAGCAGGAGGGACAAAATTATTATCAGATCAGGGCAATGAGTTATTACAGGTTCTCACGCAGGAGTGAAGAGACTCTAAAGAGGCCACTGTGCTCTTCCCTCCGACTATCAGGAACTGGAACTCCCCCTGGAATCCTTCCCGCAAAAGAAGGAATTTGCCATGCAAGGTCACAGGGTTCTGATAACTTGGAGACAGGCCAGGAGCTGAGCTAACGATGTACGACACCTTGACCAGGAACGAGTACCTCTTGCCCTCTATCTGAACCTAACCCACCTCGACACCACCAGTAACCACGAAGGGCTCACTCAGCCTCTTGATTAGTTCCTCTTCCCAGCGTGACCACACCCAGTAAGTTCCCTTTCTCTGTCTTTTTAATTAGAATACCAAGGACGAGGCTGGGCCTCCCCTGTCAGGCTGCCAGGGCCCAGACCTGTACCCCAAAACCTCCAGTAATGTTATACGCTGTTGTGGCATTTTGGAGATCCAGGGTACTGGCTGTATTTCATTCTTTTAATTTTTAAATAGCCATTTTAAAAAAAGCCTAAAATCCATGTAGTTAGTGGAGGAAGGGTGTGAACATGTCACAGCATAGGTGTAGAGGTCAGAGGGCAACTCTCAGGAGTCAGCTTTCCCCTTCCACTGTGTGGATTCTGGGGTTCAACTCCAGGCTGAGGCTTGGCAACAGGCACCTTTAGCTGCTAAGTCATCTCATGAGCTCGTAATTTTATTTTTTTTAATTTATTTATTTTTATTTTCATGTGCATTGGTTTTGCCTGCATTAACATCTAAATGAAGACACTAGATCCCCTGGAACTGGAGTTATAGACAGTTGTGAGCTGCCATGTGGGTGCTGGAACCCGGGTCCTCTGGAAGAGCAGCCAGTGCTTTTAACCGCTGAGCCATCTCTCCAGCCCCTTAATTTTATTTTTTTTAAAACGCATTTAGTCAGCATCTTGATCAGACTATTACTTTTCATGATCAACAAAACAGCTGAAGAAGAGTGTACATTAAAAACCCTCCACGGGGGCAGAGGGGACTGGAGAGTAACTCTGTCAGATAAGAACACTAGATACTCTTCTGGACAACCCAGGTTCGATTCTCAGCACCTACATGGTAGCGTACCACCATCCATAACTCCAACTCTAGGGGATCCAACACACTCTCCTGACTTCGGTGAGCACCAGGCTTGCACATGTGTACATACATACATGCTGGCAGAACCCTTATATGCATAAATATAAAAGTAAAAACTAAAAAACCAAAGACAAAACAACAATTATAAAATAGAGGCTCACTGGCAGCCAACCTGGCCAAATCGGTAAGTTCTGAGCCAGTAAGAAGAAAGTCTCAAAAAACAAGGCACACAGCATCTTGAGGCAACCTCAGGCTGTATGTTCACACACAAACACTCGCACATGTTTTTACACAAAAGGTTTTAGGACCGCTTTCTGTTGAGGCTGAGTGCTGCAGGCCACAGGAATCTATCATAAGAACTCAGCTGGTGATGGCCAAGTCACTACTTGGAGGGATCAGGGAATTCCTCCAGAGGAAGCCAAAGTCCAGGGAGCATTTGGTGTTACTTGGCTTGTTATATATATATCAGCTGTCTTCTGTTAATCTGAAGACATTCTGAAAATCAGCCTGTGAGCCTCGGGGATCTACCTGTTTCCATCTTCCCATTGTGGGGCTATGAGCCTGTTGCCAGGACAACCATTCCTGGCATTTTACATGACTTCTGAAGATCCATTTGAGGTCTTTGTGTTTGTATGGCAAGCATGCTACTGACTGAGCCATCTCCCCAGCCCTCAATTAAAAAAAAAAAAAAAAAATTAAGTAGGGCATGGTGGCTCCTGCCTTTAATCCCAGTGCTAGGGAGGAAGAAGCAGGGGGATCTCTGTTAGTTTAAGGCTGGCCTGGTCTACATAGTGAGTTCTAGGCCAATTAAGGCTACATGTCAGACCCTGCCTTTGAAAAAAAAGAAAAAAAAATTTTTTTTTTTTTTGGTTTTTCAAGACAGGGTTTCTCTGTGTAGCCCTGGCTATCCTTGAACTCACTCTAGAGACCAGGCTGGCCTCGAACTCACAGAAAGGATATTGCTATTTAGTCCAGGCCAGCTTTGAATTCTCTTGCTTCTTCCTCTATAGTGTTGTGACTATAGGCATCAACTACTACACGTGGCTGTTCCATTCTTTCTGTGTGGGGTGGACACGGCTTTCACTTACAAGGCTGTGTGTGTGTGTGTGTGTAGGGTGGACACGGCTTTCACTTACAAGGCTGTGTGTATGAGAGAGAGTGTGCGAGAGAGTGTGTGTGTGTGTGTGTGTGTGTGTGTGTGTGTGTGTGTGTTGGACAGGGCTTTCGATTACAATGCTGTGTGTATCCACAGGTGCATACGCAGGAGACCAGAGGACGACACCCTGACTTCTGCCCTCTTACTCTCCGATTCTCAAAGGAGTGAGTACTCTGAGATAAGTCTCTCACTGTGCTGGCTGGTCTTGTGTCAACTTGACACACAAACTCGAGTCATCTGAAAGGGGGGAACCTCAGTTGAGAACATGTCTCCATAAGATCCGGCTGTAGGGCATTTCTTAGTGATTGATGGTGGAGGGCCCAGCCCACTGTGGGTGGTGCCATCCCTGGGCTGGTGGTCCTGGGTTCTGTAAGAAAGCAGGCTAAACAAGCCATGTGGAACAAGCCAGTAAGCAGCATCCCTCCAGGGCCTCTGCATCAGCTCCTGCCTCCAGGTTCCTGCCCTGTTTGAGTTCCTGTCCTGACTTCCTTCAATGATGGCAGTGTAAGCTGAATTAACCCTTTCCGCCCCAACTTGCTTCTTGGTCACAGTGTTTCGTTTCAGCAAAAGAAACCCTAAGACACTCACTAAACTGGAGCTAGGCTGGTGGCCAGCAAGGGCCCCCACTCCCCGCCATCCTCCAGCCTCTGTACTCACAGCACTGGACTTAGAGGCATGTGTGCGGCCACACCCAGCGTTTTATGCGGGTGCTGGGATCTGAACTCAGGTCCTCAAGTTTGTGCAATAAGTACTCTTACCCAGCTGAGTCATCTCCCCGGCTTCTATTTTTTTTTTTTTCCTTTAAACAAACAAGCAGAGGGGATAGGGGGGATTAAGAAAGAAAGCAGAGAGCTCGTTCTCTGAGCTTTGAAGCAAGCAGTGCTGAGTTCTCTGGGTTCTGGGTAGTTCATGGGAGAGGAGACAAAGGAAGCGT